GGGAAAGAAGAAGAATTAGATAAGAAAGGTGGGCGTAAATGGAAAAGGGCGGAGGGCTGGTGGATCTCAGTATTGAAGCTGCAACTGCAAGTTGCGAGAGCGTCGAGAAATGGCAGAGGCAATAGAGGACACTCGAGCGCCTTTCTTCTCAGCTCGCAGATGCTCTCCTTAGACATCTACACAACAGCCGCCTCCTTTTCACATCCATCCTTAAAGTTTCCACCTTTCTATCAAAATGGTTGACTTCATAGGGAACGACAGCCTAAAAGAATTGGACCTGTCAAGATGCGCAAGTGTCACGGATGATGGCATTATGCATTTTTATCCATTTCAAGTTTGTAGAAGCTATGTGTGTCGAAAACATGATTGATTGTTGGAGTGCTCTGCCTCTCTTCCTTTGTAAATATCCGTGTGTTTGATCTGGGAGGGATTCTTGTCACTGATATGGCACTATCATCATTACAGGTGCTGACACTGCTTGATCACTTGGATTTATTGCACAGTGAAATTTCCAACATTGGTGCTACTACGATTTAAAAGTTATCTATGTTGAGCTTTTTAAATATAGCTTGGACTAAAGTTACCAGATTACCTTTTCTTTCTCTTTCTTGTTTAAACACGAGTAACCACACTATCCATTCTATAGTTGATGGAGACGATGGAGCCACTTCTTCAAAGTTGATTGTTACTGGAATACTTTTTATTGATGTAGATTAGGTTTTTTCAAGTCTACAATCAAGCTGCTAGAAATTCATGGTTATGTCTTACTCAAACATTCGCAACTTCAACTTTTTGGTTTTTTTGGATAACCTGGAACATTTAAATCTTAGTCATACCCAGATAATCGATGGTTCAATGGAGCAGTAGCATCAGCTGGAGAGAAATTGAAATATTTAAATCTCAGCGGACTTTTCTTGTAGCAGACCCCTCCAGAGTTTTTTTCTACCACAGGACCCTTCTCAGGCCATACCTTAGGCCATATCCTGCAGTTTTACCTGCATATGTTTTTTTCTTTTTTCTACTGGTCATACCCTTCAGCTTTCCTGCAGGTGTTCTTCCTTTTTTTTGTTACTCGTAGGCCATATCCTACAGTTTCCTCTACTTCCCTGCAAACATTTTTTCATCATTACCTATAGAAGCATTTTGCCTATCTGCAGACATGGCAAAAACTGTAGTCAAAGACATCGCCTACCTGCAGACATTGCAAAAACTGTAGTCAATGACAATCGCAGTCAACTAGAAGTCAACTTTGCTTGTAGGTTGTCTACTTTCTTGCAAATTTCTATGCAGAATTATCTGCAGGAGCTTTTCGCCTACCTATAAACACTACAGAAATTGTAATCAACTAAAAATATCCCTAAATGTTTTTGGGGTTGATTGTCAAGTACGGGAAGAAAACTTCAAGTTCTACCTCATAAAGAAAATTCCTCACCTATTGTTTGATATTATCATGTTCAAATTGAACATGGTTGTCAACCATATTTCAACTTGAGGGAGAGTGTTATAAGTTATAATAGGAAAAAGTTTATTTCTGTTAGGAGTTATAGGGATTAGATTTTACTTCATTTCCTATTTCAGATTTATTTTCTTGGATTGAATTTATTTCCTTTCCTATTTTAGGCTTTCCTATTTTAGGTTTTCCTATTTTATGTCGTTTCTTTTTTTCTCCAAGTAATTAATATGAATTGATTAATTGGAGATATAGGTGTTATATCTTTCATTTCATGTTATTTCTTTTTTCTTGTATTTCCTATTCTAGGATTCATGTAAACGGTATTTATACCCCCTTTTCATATCAATAATATAATTATTCTGAAATATAAAAATTAACAATACTTTAGGCTAGGTCTTTGTTAGGAAATAAATCAATGACATTAAATAAAATTAAAAAATAAAGAACAAAAGTGACCCCGACCAAACTCTAATGCATTAATTACCTTGATATGATGTAATGACATTAATTGTCCTGATATGGAGTAATTAACGTCGATTTCATACGTTGAAGTCTAGGCTTAATTTCCGCTCTTAATTGATTTTCTTTTCTATTCTAAATCGTAGAATATTTATATAAATATCACCCTTGTATAACGGGATGAAGGCACCAAGAAATACAAATACTTTTTCCTTATTATGGTATTTTTTTTCAGCACTTAATCCTGCCGTGTTATGCGAGAGATTATTGTGCATGCGGTGTCCGGTCAGGATTATTTCTATTTTTTTTATAAAAAAAAAAATTTTGGTGGGGCACATCGAAATACATGGGACTGATTGCTGTTATGGAGCCAGAGTCGAACCCTTCCCCGTCGCGCAAACCTTCTGCCTCACCTTCCCCGTCGCGCAAACCTTCTGCCTGTTCCCTAAGCACACGGATCTACTCTGCCCTTAATCCTCCATGCGATCCTGCTTTTGCTTTACTCCTGTGTGATTCCTTCTTATTTGAATCAAATCTCGGCTCTGCCTTAACCGGTTGAGGCAAGTTCGCACCTTCGAAGCTAGGCAAGCTTGCGTCGTTCGAAGCAGCCTCTTCCTTGTGGCGTTCGATCCCTTTTGTCTCGTCTTCCAACACCTGCACGCCGGTGTTTCTCTGTGCTCTTCCCTATGAGATATCAGGTGCATGCTTGAGCTCGCGATTACCTCTCTGCGCAAAGAGGCCGCAACCCTGACTCGACCCAAAGCTGCCATCTTGATTCCCCTCTCTATTGTCGCGATTCCCCTTTCCCAAAGAAGTTGTCGTATGAGCTTTCCTCCTCTCTGTTGCCACGATTCCCCTCTGCCATAGCCTCATGTGATCCACCGTTGCTGCACCTCCCTTTCGCAATCGACCACACTCCTCCTATCTGTTCGTAGAAGCTTTATTCTCTGTGACCTCCACTCCCTAATAGAGAAATCAGATTTTGTAAATCCAATTGCAACAGTTTTGACTGGTTCAAACTTTAATTTGTGGGTACAATAATGAAAAACTTCTTGATCAGTCGCAAACTTTGGTGTATTGTTACTAGAGATATCAATAAGCCAACGAAACAACAAAATGAAACAGATGACAAATTTGCTGACCGCCTTGAAGATTGGGATAGCAAAAACCATCAGATTATTACTTGGTTTCGTAACACCTCTATTCCATTTATTTACATCTAATTTGCTGATTATGACACTGCAAAAAAAATTTGGGAGTTCTTGGCCAATAGATATCAATAGACATCGAACTACTGGACTTGCTCATTACTTTCAGTTATGAACTATGCTTCATGTTAGGAAATAAATTAATGTCATTATATCATATCAAGGCAATTAATGTCATTGATTTATTTCCTAAATTATCTTAAACTTGTTAAAATTTTGATCATGTAAAAATTAATTATTTGACTTATGATGCACAGTAATATTTGTATGATATTTATATTTTTTAAAGATCAAATTTGTATTTTATCTTTAATTATGGGCCGAAATTAAATATATACTCTTAAGCAAGAATTAAGTCATGATCCCTAATTTAAAGAATTGGTTCTTATTGTGCTCACATCATATCTTAAGGGGAAATAAGATTTTCTCTTTCTCGAGAACACAGTTTTAAATGTGAAAGACTAATAACTCCGAATTGGCCATTCAATGGATTCAGGAATGCTTCCGATTAGACTGCTTCGATGATTTTACATGAGATTTGGATACAATGAATTTTATTATTTTCCATCTTCTGTTATTTCCATCAAAATTATTATTTTCATCAAAATACACTCTTGCTTTGTTATTGGCTTGCTCTGTTATTGGTCTACAATACTGTGCACCGAAACCTTAACAGGCTTATTTCTAATATGACGGCCAATAGGAATCCTTCATATTCAGAAATAGTTGTATGAATTATGCATTCTCAGATAACAAGCTGTACGCAGTGCTCCTCGTGGCATAATTAATATTCGTAGCTTCTGAAGAGTTGGCTAAAATTGTATCTAATATATCAGTGGTTATCATGTTTAGTTTTGTGAAGAATTATCAGCTCTTCCGCTATAAAGAGGGGGTGATTAAATGAATACAATGTCAGAATTTCTACAGAAATTATCATTTATCGTTAATGTGATTTCAAATACTATAAACAATGATTTTATCTGAGTTAATTAAGCCATTCTAATGGGATGTTAGTCCTTTTGACATTGCATTCCTGGATGGCTTGTAAATTAGTCTTAGTCTGATTGGTTCAACTTAATTAGACCTGTTGAATCCATTTGAAATTCCGGTTGATCAAGATTAACCTGTTCGTTATCCACAATTTTATATTGTGCTCATCATTAGAATAATTTTGATCTAAATTATTTCATTTAAGAAACATCATTATAGAAAGTTTACTCGCAATTAACAAACTAACTCTGCAAATATAACTTTTATGTCAAATCAATAAACCTGGAAAAATAAATTTTAAAAAAGAGGTCATTTATATCTCTACTGAGGTGGAGTGTTAGTTTAGAGACATACTTGTACCAGTCATTTACATTCTGCTTTGGTCCTCTAAGCTCATTCCTCAGGCTCATTCCAATCACATTGGCCGTGTCGTTAAACAAGCTAGCCATTTTAGTTAGCCCATCAACCCACAAATCTGGGTCGAAATATTTATCTCCAAAGAAGCCGTTGCCGTCAGAATTACTGCAGCACCATCCTGGTTTGCTTATATGGTTGTCCAATATCACCATTATGTTGTTGTCGCCTAAGTTTCTAACCACAGCCTGCCATTGACTTAGGTAAAGATATATCTCAATGTTTGAATTTGACTAAAAGTATGAGCTGTTAAAAGAAGTAACCAATATATTTTTGTTGTTGTTTATAACAATTTATTTTTAAATTTATTGCTCATTAAGAGAAATATTACAAATTTCTCTGCAGGTCAAGCACTGGTTTTCAAATACGACCAGTATGTTGTTCCCTCAAGTTTGAAACCTATTAGGTATGATATCAAGGTTTGAATTTGAATATTTTAGAAGCAGCCGTTACTTGTTGAGTCTATTTTATTATATTTTATACCTGTTTATTTCTAAGTTTTATTGCTTTTATATGTCGTTCACCTAACTTTGTAACCACGGCCACCCAATTGGTTCAGATAAGATGTCAGCATCTGGCTTCATTTTCTTGGGGCCATTTACATACACACCACACAATTCTTATTTATTTACATGTGTAACACCTAAACATTCATATTTACATGCATATCACTTAAATATTTAACGTCACATCAAAAATATATTCATCATTATTTTCTTAAAAGTGAAATATATTCTCATGCATAAATTTGAAACCAAGATGCTATAAATATAAATATCAATTTTGGGCATTAGATATATAAATTCATACGATTGTGCAGCATGTTACTGTTTTTGTGATGAATAACAATATATTTGAAACTATAATTTAAAAAATTAAAAGTTAACAAATCCTTAATTTGATCAGAAGTATGATTTGAATTATTCAGTGGTGAAGCAGCTAATATCTGTTAATTTTCTTAGTTGTACTTTCTAGCTATATTTTTTTAAATTCTGTTAAGCTTGAATAAGTGCTGCAAGTATAATTTTTCGCAGCAGTTTTAAATGCAGTATAATTTTATGAATTTACAGTGATTAAAATCACATTTATTTTAAACTTCTTAAATCCTCTCAAAACCAATTCAAATATAAGAGTGATTTTTGCATACATTGTCCGGAACGGTACAACGCATGATTCACTTGATCGCGGCGTTTTTTTCTTTCTCTCAGCCGTGATCGGAGAATTGCCGCCGTTGTCCCGACA